CATTTATAAAGATGCCTAAGATCCTTAAAGATGTAAATGAAGGTATTATGTATACAAGGAAAAGTAAAATTAGTCAATAAAACAGGCTGAAATAAAACAGAATATTACTGTGAAAAAAATTAGAAACATTACATTATGCTGGGAGCAGGTTTCACAGCAGCAACAGTAAGTGCCAGAAGGCAATCTAGTAATATCTTCACAATGCTAGAAAGAAAATAACTGTCAGCCTATAGCGCCTATCCAAAAGTAAGAGGAAAATAAAGATTAATTAAACATAAAAAATTTAGCATCAATAGGCTTTCAATAAAGAACTATTAAGAGATATACTTAAGCAAAAAGAAAACAGAGTATTTGAGATATACAAAATAATTAGCACAAAATGTTAAAAATATCTTAGTAAATTTAATTATCCATTGATGGTACAATTAACTATTATGAGTTTTTTTTTCTTTTGGAACAGTCTTGCTCTGTTGCTCAGGCTGGAGTGCAGTGGCACAATCTCAGCTCACTGCAACCTCCACCTTCCAGTTTGAAGAGATTCTCCTGTCTCAGCCTTCCAAGTAGCTGGGATTACAGATGTGCACATCCAGCTAATTTTTGTATTTTAGTAGAGACAGGGTTTTACCATGTTGGCCAGGCTGGTCTCAAATTCCTGACCTTAAGTGATCTGCTGGCCTCAGCCTCCCAAAGTGCTGGGATTACAGGCATGAGCCACTGTGCCTGGCCTTTGTGTTTTTTTTTTTAAAGGTGACAATAAAACTACATAATTATAACACCCTTGGGATAGAAAGCATGCCAAATAAAAGTACTGAGTTCCTTGTGTCTTTGGGAAGAACAAAATATAGGATGCCTCTTGGATTTATAGAAAGTATGGTTAATAAAGTACGTTTGTTAAAATCCCAAAGGAAGCCCTAAATAAGAAAAAATTTATGTATTTCAGAAAGATAAGGGAAAAATGAGACTATACAATCTCAATCAATATGAAGAAGGCAAAAAATATAGAAAAGAATGCTAAGGAAGCAGCAAATATACAATAAAATAAGACTAGAAAAAGTCTGAACTATATTAGTAATCACAATATAGGAAACAGATGACATTCACATATTAAAAGAGCTTTTCAGACTGTAGAATAAATAAAACTTGGTAAAATACTATAAGCTAAAGAAACATCTAAGGTAATGCCACACAGAAAAGTTAAAAATAAAATGAACAAAGAAATCTACTACCCAAATATTACTAAAGAAAGGCAAACCAAAGGCAAAAAGAAATGAACATAAATAGAGGCACAGTGGGACATATTACATGAGAATGAACGACAGTTCTCCAGGATGATATACTGAAGATGAATTTTCATATTCCAAAGAGCATTTCTGTAAAAGGTATCAAACAAAAACTCATAAACATTACATAGAAACAGACAAAAGTGCAATCCTAACAAACGTTTTTAACATGCCTCTAGTAGAATTAGTTAGATCTGGTAAATAAAAAATTAGGAATAATGTAGAATATTTGAAAAGTAAAATAACAAGCTTGATCTAATGGAAATATCCATTTTAAATGTAATCTGATGATATAAAATATACATTTATTTCAAACATATAGGGTATTTATAGATAATAAAAGAGAAAGAGAGGAAAAAGAGGGAATGGTGAAGAAAGAGAGAAAGGAGAAAAATCTTTACTAAGAAACTGAAAAATATTCTTGACAACTTGTAGACTAAAGAGAAAATCACAGTGGAAATTAAGAAATATTAAGAACTGATCAAAATAGTTCTGAGATGCAAATAAAATGCACTTAAAGGTAAATATTCATTGCTGAATGCTTTCCTATAAGAAATAGCAAGAGATTTAATACAAATTGATGGATTTCAGCTCAAGAAGTTAGAAATATACAACAGAATAATTCTGAAGGAAGTGAAAATTTTTAAAAAATAATAAAGGTAGAAATTAATGAAATGGAAAACAACTAAGCAATACCGAAAATTCACAAAAACGGCAAAGGCAATTTTTAAAAATAGCAAGGTTGGAAGATTTGCTCTGCAAAATATTAAAACTTACTTATAAAGAAAGTGAAATTAAGACTGGGAGGCATCGTCATTTGGGTGGAAAAATAGAACAATAGAACAGAGGGACAATAAACAGACTAATACATACATGGAAACTATATGATATTTTAAATTAGTGGGAAAAACCTGAACTATGCAATAATGGATGCTGGGACAACTGTATACTCAAATGAAGAAAAAAATTGGATTGCAACCCAATATTATATTGAAATATAATAGTAAAATTAAATGTAAAATGCAAGACTCTTAAGAAAACGTAGGAAAATACATTAAAGAAATTGGAAGCATTTCTTAAGCGAGACTAAAAAGCAAAAATTAGGGAAGTTGCTCATTTCAACAATATTAAAATGTAAATGAAACTTCTGTATAGCAAAAACACCATACACAAAATTAAATGATGAGCTATAGACTAGAAGATTATTAGAGAATTCTTATTCAGAGTATGTAAAGAACTCCTACAAAGCAATAAAAAATGGACAGGAATTTGAAAAAGGGGAAAGGATATGAACCAGCAAATAGTTGACTCTTCACACTCCTGTGACCCAAGCAAGACGCACACTACAGGACATTCTTGAACAGGTGCAGAAGCGTCTGTGTCCGCACTGTTTGTATCAGCAAAGCAATGGTCCATATAGAAGAGTGGATAAATGAATATTAATATCTTCATTCATTGAAGTATTATTTAAACGTTTCATTGCTTTACCAACTAAAGAATATTGGACTCAATGTCAGAAGGCCTGAGGGAGATTTATCTTTGCCAAAAGCTATCTACTAACTATACATGATCCTGGGCAAATTCCTTAACCTGTTTGGCTCTTAGTTTCCTTGTAAGAGGTTTAGATGGGGCTTGAAACAGCCTTCAATCTGAATAACTCACAGAAGTTTTAGAAGTCCATGTGCCTGCACCCCTCTCAGACCTACTCCATCAGGGTACCCAAGGGTGGGCATGGTCAGCACCAGACCCTTCCAGGTCAGCAATTTCACTCCCTCAGCAGGGAGCTGGGAAGCTTAGACAGGAATTTCATTCAAAACAACGTTTACAAGCACCTCTTCTCATTTCAGTTTTCACTCTTGAGTTGTAGGTAGGCCTGACAATTTCCAATTCTATCTTTCAGTCAGGGAGTATTCTGGAAGCAAAAGCCTCCTTGCTAATGCTCCTATCTCAGCAAGGCAAGGAGTTACGGTTACCCAGCAGCTAATCAGAGAGGCTGTATCATTTTCAGAGTTAAGAGTGCAGACTCCGAAGTTTAATTGGGCTCAGATCCCCAAACCCTCCCTTTTAAGTTGTGTGACCCCAAAGAGTTATTAACTTCCCTGCACCATGGTTTTCCTATCTGTAAAACAGAACAGGATAGAAGGTGACTTCTAGGGTTGTTATGAGGATGGGATGAATCAATATAACCGAGGTGTTTGGAAAGTGTTGAAACATATTAAGTGCTCTACAAAGCTAGCAACTATGATGATTAGACTATAGACCCAGAACTCCTGAAGACAGGAGGGGGACGTAGTAGAGGATAGCATGTAATACTTTCATTAGCCCTACTATCTACGGGCATTGCTGGTTTGCTTTTTTAAGTCCCTGAAGCCACATATGAGAGAAAATTATTGCAGGTGCATTACAAAACTGTAATCCTTTCTGCTACTACTCTCTCAGAAAGATTTAATAAACCTGTGCGTTTTACATCCAACCTCACTGAAGAGCCAGGGTAGGGGGATTCCAGTGAACTAGGTAGCCCTTAAATTGCTTTTTGAGAGCCCCATTTTTATTTAAAGCTGCTAGTTAGAAAGTTGTTTCAGCTGCAGAACCAGGACATTATTTCTGTTATCTGTCTGCTTACTGTGGTAATTATAAATTTTTGACAATTTTGCCATTTACTTTTTTTTTTTTTTGAGATGGAGTCTTGCTGTGTCACCGAGGCTGGAGTGAGGTGGTGTGATGTCGGCTCACTGCAACCTCTGCCTCCCGAGTTCAAGCAATTCTTCTGCCTCAGCCTCCTGAGTAGCTGGGACTACAGGTGAGCACCACCACACCTAGCTAAATTTTTGGATTTTTAGTAGAGACAGGGTTTCACCATGTGGTCCAGGCTTGTCCCAAACTCCTGACCTCAGGTGATCTGTCTCAGCCTTAACCTTCCAAAATGCTGGGATTACAGGCATAAGCCACTGCACCCAGCTGCAATTTACTGTTGTTTTTTTTTTTTATGTCCCCTCTTGAGTTTGTGATTATACCCTGACACTAGCCATTTCTAATTGTCATGTTAAAAAAAAGTTACACAAATTCAACTTTATTCTCTTTCTCTTTTTTTAGTCTGAAAATCTTAACACCCTGCAAGATAACTAGAGCTCTCTAACTTGCAGTTTTGTGCAGTTTTGGGCAAAGCTTAACGTAAAAATTTGGTTAACCCTGGTAATTGGGGAGAATGCTTTCTGAGCCTTGTTCCTCATGGATTTCTGGAAATTGACACCAATCTAAAGGGAAGAACAAAGAAAGTTCTCGGTTGTTTGTTCTCAAAGTAGGCCTCTCCAGCAGATATGACTGGATATGAACCCAGTGTCATATCTGTTTCCTCTGTGGAAGAATTTAGCCAGCAGAACAGTGGTGAAAAGACATTGAGTGGGGACCCAACTCAGGCCTTAAGGAAGCACTCTTGCTTTAGGAGGAGATGTTAGAAATTTGTCCTTATAGAGCTATAAAATGTGTGCATGGAACAAGCATCTTGCAATATTTTTAAAGGGTGGAAATTAAAATCTCAAAGGCAGCATAGTGCAGATAGCAGGAAATGTTTACAGAGTGACCAAGTGGTGAATTTTCATTACTGACTAATGAACTTCATTGATATCAGGTATGTGGTTGGATCTCAGTTCTGATAAAGGAGTTTGCTGGGGTGTGTCAGAGATATAGACATATGTTTTTTTCCTAAGCGATCATTTGGAAAAGAGATATCCACATCTTGAAGCCTGTATAAAGAATAGAAGCTGCACGGGCAGCTTTACACACTCCAGCACCATCTTCCTTCAGGCAGAATGAAAATCCTTGTGAGTATTTGTTTCTGCTTCTTGATACTCTTGTGGTGACTACAGGAAATGCTCGTATCTAATATGACATGGATTTTGGGGGTCTTAGACAGATACCATGCATGCTTCTAAGCCTATGTGATTAAATTAATGATATCTTTCGCAGAAATAGTGTTGAATAAGTCTGACTTTTTTGTCCTTTGTCTGTTTTGAGATGTTTACTTAAAAAAATACAAAGAAATATCTACAGAATTTTGATTTGGAGGATGTTTAATAATAATCCCTTAATATAAACTTCATAGGGAATGTGGGCTATTTTAAACAACTACATTTGCTATCTAACAGAGAAGTGTTAATTTAAAAATAATATCGTAATACTACCTCTTATTTCTCAAATGCATACTAAGCCTTAGACTAAGCATTTCACATGAATAATTTCATCTATTCATTGCAACAACCCTGTGAGCTGAGTAGTATTCGCTCCATTTTACAGACAAAGAGACTGAGAGGCAGAGGAATGTGCTTTTCCCAAGCCCATAAATGTGGGATTTAGAATGTAATTTATCCATCTTAATCCCCACTTGCGGGTGCAATCATGGCAAATTTAAGCAGCCACAGTCTTCGTGGCCTTCCGTTATGACTAAATTCTCCCTTAGAACAAAACGTTCCTCCTATGGCCACTCTACTCCTCCATCTGATACCAGCCTCCATAGTTCCACACTGCAGTGCCCCATGGAGAGTGGGATATGTTCTGACCTAGAATGGAACTTGCTCCCCCAGTCTCTGTCCTTTATTCTCATTCAGCTGCTAAGGGGAAAGCAAAATGTTAAGTACCTTTTTCTAAAATGTTTAAAATTGTCAGCTTAAAGAGTTCCCTCTCTAGGGGCTCTCTTGATTTTCCAAATTGAGACCTAACCCTGAAGCATAAAATTATTATATAACCATGGTGTATTAACCACGATGTTGGATGGGAGATCATTTTGGGGCACAGGACACTCCCAAAGCTCTCTCTAATCATACTATTAAGGTGGTTTAGTCCTTGAACTACTTTTTCAAACCACTATGTTAGACTCATTTAATAGAATATACAGGAGTATCATATGCTGCTAGAGCTGGTCTGTGGTAAGAGAAGGTGTATCCCTATGGCAGGGTGAATGTCTGTGCACAGGTCTTTGTTAGAGGCTCTACTGCCAGTCGCCAGAAGAGAAATATTAAGGGTGGGATGGAAAGGGAAATAGAAAAGTCCTACTGACAGTTCTCAAAAATATCCCCCTTCCCCAAGACTCCTTTCATCAGTAGTTTTCAATGACAGTACAGTAAACCATGTACTGATGTAGTTTTCAGTGATAGTACAGTTCACTGACGTTCAGAAGAGAGGCTACAGAACCTGGGTTAGCATGTTGGAGTAGACTCTTACATAACTACAGCAAAATATCAGAACTGCCTCAGTGTCAGCCTCATGACCCGTGGGCCCAGCACTGTGGGATGGTATCACTAAGGCATGGGTTGTAGGAGAATATGACAGTTTTGCTTGATGTCAGCCTCAAAAGTTAATTGTGCTCTCAAGCATTCTGTTTTCATCGTTTCCCTTAGGAACCTATTGTGTTTTTGTCACCCATGATTCATTTTAAATCTGTATTACCCTCTCAGTCTTAAGGGATTAAAGTGTTTTTTTTTTTAATTTTTTTTTTTTTTTAAACCAGAGGACACAATTTGACCACTGTTATCCAAAGCCAGTATGAATCATACCTGGGTACTCCCACAGCAAAATGAGTCCTTCACTGCTCACCTGCTCCAAGTTTCTCCTACTATCTAGATGCTAGAAAAGAGTTGGGAATTAGGTGGCAAATGTAGAGCTGAGTGTCTGGCAAATAGAATGAACTCAGCAAATGCCTATTAACTGAGTGAATGTGTGTGCTTCACACTTTGGAAAGGGAGTGCTGACCATCTGTGGCCACTCAGTCTCTAGGTGTACATTTTCTGAGATATCTGTGCCTTTCCTGTCCAGTGTTCCCTCCTGCCCCCACCCTAATGACTACCCTAGAATGGATGTGGTGGATTTGTTTTTCAGGTGGCATTTCTGGTGGTGCTGACCATCTTTGGGATACAGTCTCATGGATATGAGGTCAGTTGGTTCAGTTGGTTCCTTATGGGCTTTATCTTTTAGAGATGTTGGGAGAGAAAAGGGAAGGTACACAAGAAAGCTTGAAAGACAGTAGAGAGGCCGTATGCCTTATTTGGGATGGAATCACAGAAATTACCAATAATGGAAACAATGAGCTTGGCTGTTCCTCTCCAAACACAATACTTTGTAAATGTAAGCCATTGTTTTAAAACGTGGTCAGTCTCATTTCTCCTGTGATGTCACTGCTTCTTCCATATATAATGTAGTAAACTGTAAGAAAAAGCTTTGCAGTCTTATGGCATCATAAACTTTCAGACTGGGATCCCAGTGGAGAGTTTTAGCTTCGAATCCCTTGTTTATAGCAGGCAGAGGCTTTATTTTGTCAGAAGATTTGCCTTTCAAATGTATAAGATTTATGGAAAAACATTTTGTCTTCCCTTTCAATCTAGGTTTATAACATCATCAGCCCAAACAACAATGGTGGCAATCTTCAAGAGACAGTGACGATTGACAATGAAAAAAATATCGCCATTGTTAACATCCATGCAGGATCATGCTCATCTACCACAATTTTTGACTATAAACATGTAAGCAGCAAATGAATTTTTGTGTTCTTCAGGAATAGTTTTCTAAACAGCTGAGGGATCTACATATATGGGACATATACACTTGAATTGTTAGATTTAACCTTGTAATTCTTTAAGAATTTCCTCACTTTCACCTTTTTCTTTTAATAATCAAGCAGTTGTTAAAAAAAAACCATTTTGAAGAAAAACATGACAGGAAACATGTGTATTTGCTTGACGTTTTCAGGTAGAAATTGGAAGAGTGATGCTATTATCTCACTACAGGCTCAGAAAGTGCAGAGTAACCAAAGCCCAAAGCAAAGCCCAGCATGCGGACCTCAAACACATTCATTGAGTGAATAAATGAATGAATAGGGCTTCTAGGACAGAACATCATGCAGATAAAGAACAATCGGTTGGGCATGGTGGCTCATGCCTGTAATCCCAGGACGTTGGGCGGCTGAGGCAGGAGGGTCATTTGAGCCTAGGAATTGGAGACTGGCCTGGGCAATATGGTGAAAGCCCATGTCTACCAAAAATACAAAAATTAACTAGGTGTGGTGGTGTGTGTCTGTGGTCCCACCTACTCAGGAGGTTGAGGTGGGAGGATTGCTAGAGCTCAGGAAGTCAAGGATGCAGTAAGCTGACATTGCACCACTACACTCCAGCCTGGGTGACAGAACAAGATCCTGAGTTCAAAATAAAAATAAAAATAAAAATAAAAGAATAAAAAGAACAATCACAAAGCAATCACAACATAGCAGAAATCTAGAGCAACTCTACACATTTAATTATGTACATAGAATAGACAATAAATCATACTTTTTCTGTAAGAAAGAAAGTCTGCTAACGAAAAGCACTAAACTATTTTCAAGTGTTAGATACTGGCATTAAGAATAAGTCACAGAAACCTGCTCAGAAAACTTATCTTTCATCATTTATTTATTCATTTGTTTTCCATTTGTTCCACCAACAAATTGTTAACCTGCTTCTACCTAGGTTCAGAGCTATGCACTATGGCTAGACATGGGTTCCAGTTTTTCTCACTAGACTTTTGAACATGCTTTTCTGTCCCTTTTCTTATAGAAATATCTTTACATTCCTTTTCCCTATTGGTGTTGACAGTTCAATGGCACATTCAAAAGTATAGAGTCATTAGAAGATGTGGTTTAAAAGGAAGTGGCACTGAAATTGTTTTTAAGCAACCTTCACGGAAATCTCAAAAGTGTCCTCAAAAAATAAGAGTGGCAAGGATTTGCTTTAAGCTTCTTCCATTGTCACCAGGCTCAGCCTCTATTTTTGAATTTTAGGAACTGACAATTTGTGAGAATTGAAAAATAGGAAACAGAATGATTTCTATTAGATACAGCCTTCTAGAGTATATCATTACTTGGAACTCTGTAGAGACAATTTTCATTCCAGGTGAAGACTCAGTGGCCTTAGGCCCCTTCTGGCCCCAGGGTCTTTACCCTCCATTGCTCTTTTATTTTATTTTATTTTTTCCTTTTTATTGCATTTTAAGTTTTGGGGTACATGTGCAGGACATGCAAGATAGTTGCATAGGTACGCACATGGCAGTGTGATTTGCTGTCTTCCTCCCCTTCACCCACATCTGGCATTTCTCCCCGGTATCCCTCCCCAGCTCCCCTGCCGCTGTCCCTCCCCTATTCCCCCCAATAGACCCCAGTGTGTAGTGCTCCCCTCCCTGTGTCCATGTGTTCTCACTGTTCATCACCCGCCTATGAGTGAGAACATGCGATATTTCATTTTCTGTTCTTGTGTCAGTTTGCTGAGAATGATGTTCTCCAGATTCATCCATGTCCCTACAAAGGACATGAACTCATCGTTTTTGATTGCTGCATAATATTCCATGGTGTATATGTGCCACATTTTCCCAGCCCAGTCTACCATCGATGGGCATTTGGGTTGGTTCCAGGTATTTGCTATTGTAAACAGTGCTGCAATGAACATTCGTGTGCATGTGTCCTTATAGTAGAACGATTTATAGTCCTTTGGATATATACCCAGTAATGGGATTGCTGGGTCAAATGGAATTTCTATTTCTAGGTCCCTGAGGAATTGCCACACTATCTTCCACAATGGTTGAACTAATTTACACTCCCACCAACAGTGTAAAAGTGTTCCTTTTTCTCCACATCCTCTCCAGCATCTGTTGTCTCCAGATTTTTTAATGATCGCCATTCTAACTGGCGTGAGATGGTATCTCAATGTGGTTTTGATTTGCATTTCTCTAATGACCAGTGATGATGAGCATTTTTTTCATATGTTTGTTGGCTCATATATGTCTTCTTTTGTAAAGTGTCTGTTCATATCCTTTGCCCATTTTTGAATGGGCTTGTTTGTTTTTTTCTTGTCAATCTGTTTGAGTTCTTTGTAAATTCTGGATATCAGCCCTTTGTCAGATGGGTAAACTGCAAAATTTTTTTCCCATTCTGTTGGTTGCTGATTCACTCTAGTGACCATTTCTTTTCCTGTGCAGAAGCCTTGGAGTTTGATTAGGTCCCATTTGTCTATTTTGGCTTTTGTTGCCAATGCTTTTGGTGTTTTGGTCATGAAGTCCTTGCCCTCTCCTATGTCCTGAATGGTTTTGCCTAGATTTTCTTCTAGGGTTTTTCAGGTCTTATGTTTAAGTCTTTAATCCATCTGGAGTTAATTTTAGTGTAAGGTGTCAGGAAGGGGTCCAGTTTTTCTTTCTGCCCACAGCTAGCCAGTTTTCCCAACACCATTTATTAAACAGGGAATCCTTTCCCCATTGCTTGTTTTTGTCAGCTTTATCAAAGATTGTATGGTAGTAGGTATGTGGTGTTGCCTCCGATGCCTCTGTTCTGTTCCATTGGTCTATATCTCTGTTTTGGTACCAGTACCATGCTGTTTTGATTACTGTAGCCTTGTAGTATAGTTTGAAGTCTGGTAGTGTGATGCCTCCTGCTGTGTTCTTTTTGCTTAGAATTGACTTGGCTATGCAGGCTCTCTTTTGGTTCCATATGAAGTTTAAGGTGGTTTTTTCCAGTTCTGTGAAGAAAGTCATTGGTAGGTTGATGAGGATAGCGTTGAGTCTGTAAATAACTTTGGGCAGTATGGCCATTTTCACGATATTGATTCTTCCTAACCATGAACATGGAATGTTTCTCCATCTGTTTGTGTCCTCTCTTATTTCATTGAGCAGTGGTTTGTAGTTCTCCTTGAAGAGGTCCTTTACGTTCCTTGTTAGTTGTATTCCAAGGTATTTTATTCTCTTTGTAGCAATTGTGAATGGCAGTTCGTTCTTGATTTGGCTCTCTTTCAGTCTGTTATTGGTGTATAGGAATGCTTGTGATTTTTGCACATTGATTTTGTATCCTGAGACTTTGCTGAAATTGCTTGTCAGTTTCAGGAGTTTTGGGGCTGAGATGATGGGGTCTTCTAGATATACAATCATGTCGTCTGCAAATAGAGACAATTTGGCTTCCACCTTTCCTATTTGAATACCCTTTATTTCTTTTTCTTGCCTGATTGCTCTGGCTAGGACTTCCAGTACTATATTGAATAGGAGTGGTGAGAGAGGGCATCCTTGTCTAGTGCCAGATTTCAAAGGGAATTCTTCCATAATCAATAAATCCAAGAGCTGGTTTTTTGAAAAGATCAACAAAATAGACAGACCATTAGCCAGATTGATCAAAAAGAAAAGAGAGAATAACCAAATAGATGCAATAAAAATGATAAAGGGAAAATTACCACAGATTCCACAGATATTTAAACCATCATCAGAGAATATTACAAGCAACTCTATGCACATAAACTAGTAAACCTGGAAGAAATGGATAAATTCCTGGACATTTGTGTCCTCCCAAGCCTAAACCAGGAGGAAGCCGAAACTATGAATAGACCAATAACAAGGTCTGAAGTTGAGGCAGCAATTAAGAGCCTACCACACAAAAAAGCCCAGGTCCAGATGGGTTCACAGCCGAATTCTACCAGACACACAAAGAGGAACTGTTACAATTCCTTCTGAAACTATTCCAAATAATTCAAAAAGAGGGAATCCTTCCCAAATCATTTTTTGAGACCAACATCATCCTGATACCAAAACCCGGCAGAGACTCAACAAGAAAAGAAGACTTCAGGCCAATATCTATGATGAACATAGACCAAAAAATCTTCAATAAAATACTGGCAAGCTGATTGCAACAGCACATCAAAAAGCTTATCCACCATGATCAAGTAGGATTCATCCCGGGGATGCAAGGCTGGTTCAACATACGCAAGTCTATAAATGTAATTCACCACATAAACAGAACCGAAAACAAAAACCACCTGATTATCTCAATTGATGCAGAGAAGGCCTTTGACAAAATTCAACAGCCCTTTATGCTAAAAACCCTCAATAAACTCAGTATTAATGGAACATATCTCAAAATAATAAAAGCAATTTATGACAAACCAACAGCCAATATCATACTGAATGGGCAAAAACTGGACGCATTCCATTGCTCTTTTAATCCCACCTTATTCCAACCCATCCCTATCCAGCCAGCTTGGGTTTGAGGTGAAGGGATGGAAAAAACTGGAGAGGAAGAGAAGATGGTAAATAAAGGGAGGATAGTTGAGATGTGTGTGGCGGGGGCATGAGTGTGGGTATGGGCATGCTTTTGAGAGTTTCTAAAGCAGCACTGTCTAACAGAACTTTCTGCGGTGGTGGAAGTGTTCTAGATTTGCATTTCCGGTAGGGAAGCCCCCAGCCCCTTGTGGTTATTGAGTACTCAAAATGTGTAACAGAAGAAGTGCATTTTAAATTTTATCTAATTTAAATTTACATTTGGATAGCAACATATAGCTATTAACTATCATATTGAACAGCACAGTGCTAAAGAATATTGTATCTACCCCAAACTGGGGAGGAGACAGAATAAAATTAGTGGAAAGAGGCCTGGTACAGTAGCTCATGCCTGTAATCTTAGCACATTGGGAGCCCGAGGTGGGTGGATCACTTGAGGTCAGGAGTTCAAGACCAGCCTGGCTAACATGGTGATACTCCATCTCTACTAAAAATACAGAATTAGCTGGGTATGGTGGTGCACACCTGTAATCCCAGCTATTCGGGAGGCTGAGGCAGGAGAATTGCTTGAATCAGGGAGGTGGAGGCTTCAGTGAGCCGAGATTGCACCACTGCACTCCAGCCTGGGCAACAGAGTGAGACCTCTGGCTAAAAAAAACCAAAAAAACAAAAAACCAAAAAACCTGAAAAATTAACGGAAAGAGATAGAGAACTGCTTGTTCTCAATCTTTCAAACCTCAAACTGCAGACTCTGGTTCTATAACACAAAAAGAGTACAGTCATGGGTTTGCACAATTTCAAAGGGGTAGAGATGACAAGTGAAAAAATGAAAATGTTATGTAAAATAAGTCAAGTAGATAAAATTGATTGCAGGTTGGAAAGCAATTTGATCGTATATTCACTTTGCATGTTCAAGCCTTTCCTCCGTGGTTCAGGCATCTTCTTCACCAAGTTCAGATCTCAGGGAACTGGGGAAGGTCAGTAACTGTACTCTTGCTGCCTCAGGGCTACATTGCATCCAGGGTGTTCTCCCGAAGAGCCTGCTTCATCCTGAAGATGGACCATCAGAACATCCCTCCTCTGAACAATCTCCAAAAGTACATCTACGAGAGACAGGTAATTCTTGGGCACTCTTGAGTATTCTCTGTTCTTAAGCCAGGTAATACTGGTGTTTATGGAGAAATGAAGAGGGTGAGAGAGAAGATCATACTATCATGCCTTACCATAAATATGATACTCAAATTATTAAAGTTATCAAAGTGTTTTCACTTTTATTTTATTATTTTTTAAGAGCAGGAGTACATTTCAGCTTGATTTCTACCACATAGTCCTAAATACAAGAACTTATAATAAATTCCATATAACAAGGACTGACCAACTTCTCTTATCAGATCAGGGTTATGGGAAATAGTAATTGAAAGAATAATAAGAGAAGTTGTAATATTCAATGACACAAAGATGCAAAGAAATAATACAGTATAGTGAACATATACAAACCCTGCACTGTGGCTAGAGACCCAAGGTCTAAATCTCCCTCTACAACGTCTCATATGTGCCACCTTTGATGTGGGACTTACCTTCTTTGGGCTTCATTGCCACCAGAGGTAAAATAACACTGGGAATTACTAATGAGACTACTTCACAGATAGAATACTCAAAAAGAGATGATGCCTTGAGATCCTTAACTTCTTTCTGTTTAATAGTCTGAACGAGAAAAATAGTCACAATTTAGAATAAGGTACACCAAATATTGTCAATTTATTTCTGTTGTTCTTCTGTTATACTGATCTAGGCTCTGAACAACATGTTCTCCAACAAATACACCTGGGTCAAGTATAACCCTCTGCAGTCTCTGATCACAGACGTGGATTGGTTCCTGTTTGGGTCACCCATTGAGAAACTCTGCAAACATATCCCCTTGTATAAGGGTGAAGTGGTTGAAAAAACACGTGAGTACCAATAAGTCATTCATTCACCAGATGTTTTCTGAAAGCTACTGTGTGCTAGGTGCTCTGTTAGGTGCCCTGTGAAACACAAACAAAAGGGTACAGTACTCAGTTCAGTTTGCTTTGGATATTACTTACGTGCCATGTGTGTAAATTGTGCTGAATGTTAGGAATACAGAAACAAACTGTCTCCAAGGAACACATAGTCTAGTGAAGAAGCTGAAGAGTAAAAAAAGGATGGAATAAAAGATTCCTGGGTGCCAACGAAAAACTACTGGATTCTTGTATACTTTTATGTATTCTTTTTTTTTTTGAGACAGAGTTTCGCTCTTGTTACCCAGGCTGGAGTGCAATGGCACGATCTTGGCTCACCGCAACCTCCACCCCCTGGGTTCAGGCAATTCTCCTGCCTCAGCCTCCTGAGTAGCTGGGATTACAGGCACGCACCACCGTGCCCAGCTAATTTTTTGTAATTTTTAGTAGAGACGGGGTTTCACCATGTTGACCAGGATGGTCTCGATCTGTTGACCTCGTGATCCACCCGCCTCGGCCTCCCAAAGTGCTGGGATTACAGGCTTGAGCCACTGCGCCCGGCCACTTTTATGTATTCTTATTCTTGTATACTTGTATATATTCTTACATACTTTTATATGTAAGAATTTCAAGTGGCACAAAGTCTTCTGGGCACTTAGAATAACATCTTTTGAAGATAATAAGAAGGAATTCACTAAGAAATGCTCTCAGGATCTAGAATAGAATTGGTACAGGAAAGAGGAGGCACTTACAACAGGGAATAAAAACCCTGATTCATCTGGGTAACATATGCCACTGTAGATATTACTGTCATTTTTATACAAAGTTTCTAAATGTGGCAGAGCAGAGTGAAAGAGGTTGGGCCAACTGATGATGAATACAACAAAGGAAATTTCTCAGAGTAGTGGAAGGTAGATAAGGAAGAATTCATATTTATTGTGTATCTACTGCCCAGAAAAAATTTTAAGTACTCATTCATAAAGTAGATATCTATGTAGGTATGCCATTGACACAGAATGGCATAATATCACTGGGATTGAGCCAACAAGCGTTTCCAAAAACTTTTAAAGTTTTATTTAAGCAAATGTATTATTACTCTAATAATTCCAATAATATATTTCTTAATGCTCTTTCTTTGAAAAATTTTCCCCTTTCCAGATAAAGTTGGTGCTGGAGGCTGTGCAAAGGCTGGGCTCCTGGGCATCTTGGGAATTTCAATCTGTGCAGACATTTATGTTTAGAACAATCAGCTCTCTTGTTTTATCTTTTCAAAGAAATACATCCTTGGTTTATGCTCAAAAGTCAACTAAATTCTTTCCCAATGCCCCAACTTATTTTGAGATTCAGTCGGAAAACATAAATGCTGTATTTACAGATTTTTTGGTGTTTGTTGTTGTTTGTAAGCAGCAAAGGGAATCCAAGCAATGTCTATGTCAGTATATAGAAGAAAAAAAATTCCCAGGATTTCAAATACGGTGCATAATGTGTGAAAATTCCTAGATGATACCACTGGGTCACATGCGGACTCATCAGCTGGGGTCAAATTTCCATCTCTGCATCTGCCCTCTGGACCAGCTTCCCATCTAATCATCCAAATATATGGGAGCAACCTGGATAGAGCAGAGGCTCACATGGTGGTAGCCTTGACCTGGCCAGGGGAAGGACATGGGATACCCTTATCAAACAACTTGAATGCTCAGGTGAAGGAAACTCTCTCTTCTGAAAAAGTGTCCAGCTTTTAGGGCCATTGTTATGAGTTAAATGAACATTATTATATTGTCCTGGAGTGAGGAGGGAGAAAGGACCAAAATGGACCATACTGAAGATCATAACAGAAGTGAAACCTAACTAGAAATGCCAAGTCAATACATAGCAGAAAAGCAACTTCCAATATTTCAAATAAATTGTACATTGTGTACAAATCTCAGATCGTGAAGCTGGGTCACATGCGAATGGTCGCCTGAATGCAAATTCAGAGCAAAGAGGAATTCTTTAACAACAGTTTATTCTCTTGCCACAGACCTCTGGGATCCTAGCTGCAGAGGACTTCCCGTTTCCCCTGCTGAGCTGACATTAGACTCTCACTGGAGATTAGATGGAGAAAGGGCTTCAGCAGGCACGGAGCTGGAGGCTTTGTTTGTGAGACAGCTCCAGGGGAGCTTGGCCACTGCCCGGGGAGAGCATTCATCACCCAGGGCTCCCTGTTCTCCCTCTGAGGGGCTCTGGCCCCAAATAACCCTCAGAATGGGAGAAGAAGGGCTTCCCCATAGGATTAGGGCACATCTGTCCCACAGGCCCACCTGCCTGCCAGTCTCTCCCAGGGTTCCTGCCAGACCACCCCATAGAAGAGTGTACACAGTGAAGCCTCAGCTGCTCAGCCCGGGTACTTGGCTCCACTTGAGTGCATTCCGGCAGCCTGGGAGCTGTTTACATCCCTCAGTGCACCCATATCCGAAGGCGGAGGGTCCCCAGGAGGGAGCTGTGAGCAGATCCGGATGTCCCAGGGCTAAGGTATGTGGCTCCAGAGTGTGGAACTGGGCCCACTGCTTGAGCACGAGAGGTGCCCATACTCAGAAAACTGTCAGAGAGGGGTGAGTCACACAGGTTAGTGGGCTGCTGTGGAACCCAGGCGTGCCTCCCTCCACAGGGCTGGTCCAGTAAGAGTGGGGCCTGTCTCCTTGCTGGACCTCTGCCTGAAGGAGCCCCACGACCTGAAATACCTAACAACAACAACAAAGTCGCAGCCACAGTGCCAGTGATCAGAGGTTGCCCCCCCCCCCCCGCCACAAGATCCAGGAGGGGACCTGGTGAGAGGGGTCACCTCTCTCCCCCTTGCAGGGGGAGAGAGCAGGGCTTCCAAGGCCCAGATACCCAAAGGAGCCGGGTGGCAGAATAAGAGCATAGCTTCCGCCCATTGCTCTCACACGCCATCTACTGAATTTCAGCCCCAACTACAACACGAAAAACCTACTTTTCCTTCCTGTGAGGCCCAGGACTAGAATTCAATAAAGACTCTGTTTAGAGCCTTAGCCCTCTGAAAACTTCCAGAAATGAAGCCAACTGACTATATTTAGTTTACACCACAGTTAAAGGAACACCAACCCTCCCAGATTAGAAAGAATCAGGGCAAGAACTGTGGCAATTCAAAGAGCCAGAGTGTCCCCTTATCTCTAAATGAGTCCACTGGCTCCCCAGCAATGGTTCTTAACCACGCTGACAGAAATGACAGGATGGAATGCAGAATCTGGATGGCAAGGAAGCTTATGGAGATCCAACAGCAAGTTGAAATTCAATCCAAGGAAGTCAAGCAACCCAGTGAAATGATTTAAGAGCTAAAGGTGAAATAGCAATTTTATAAAAGACCCAAACTGAGCTTCTTAAGTTGAAAAAAGAATTGCATAATACAATCAGAAGTACAGCAGAATAGACCAAGCTGAGGAAAGAATCTCAGAGCTCAAAGCCTGGTTCTTTGAATCAACTTAGTCAAAAATAAAGAAAAAAGAGTTTTAAGAAATGAACACAACCTCCCAGAAATATGAGATTATGTAAAGAGACCAAATCTATGACTAATTGTCATCTCTGAGAGAAAGAGAGAGAATAAGCAACTTGGAAAATGTATCTGGGACACAGCCCACAAAAATTTTTCTAATGTCTCTAGAGAGGTTGACATATAAATTCAAGAAATACAGAAGACCTTGTCCAGATAATATGCAAAATGACCATCCCCAAGGCACATAGTCATCAGATTCACCATGGTCAATGCAAAAGAAAAAAATCTTAAAGTCGGCCAGGAAGAAGGTTCAAGTCACATTCAGAACACTCTCATTAGGCTGACAGTGAACCTCTCAGTAGAAACCTTACAAGCCAGAAGAGATGGCAAGGGGAGGGTCTATTTTTCTCATTCTTAAAGAAAAGAAATTCCAACCAAGAGTCTCATACACTGCCAAACTAAGCTTCCTAAGTGAAGGAGAAATAAAACCCTTCTCAGACAAGCAAACGCTGAAGTAATTTATTTCAACTAGTCCAATCTAACAAGAGGTCCTAATGGAGTGCTGAATATGGACTCAAAGGAATAAAACCTGCTACCATAAATACTCACTTAAACACATGGCCCACAAACACTATAGGCAAATTACACAATAAGTCTACATAACAACACAATGATAGTATCAAAATCTCACGCATCAATGCTAACCCTGAGTGTAAAGGGGCTAAATGCCCCACTTAAAAGACATAGAATGGCAAGCTTGATAAAATGACAAGACCCAATCATCCTCTGTCTTCAAGAGCTCCATAACACGTGTAATGACGTCCACAGACTCAAAGTAAAAAGTTGGAGAAAGATTTACCGTGCAAAGAGAAAACATAAAAGAGCAGGAGTCACTAGTTTTATATCAGACAAAACAGATTTTAAACAATTAAGAAGGACAAAGAAGAGTATTACCTGAACTGCAAAAGACTTATTGGGGAAAAAGAAGGGTATTACATAATGACAAAGGGTACAGTCCAACAAGAAGGCTTAACTATTCTAAATATAAACACACCCCAATTCGGAGCACTGAGATTCGTAAAACATGTTCTTGTCCTACAAGAAGGCTTAGACAGCCACACAATAATAGTGGGAGACTTTCACATCCTACTCACAGATCACTGAGACAGAAAACTAACAAAGAAACTCTGGACTTAAACTTGATACTTGACTAATTGGACCTAATAGATATCCACAGAAAATTTTAACCAACAAAGACAGAATACACATTCTTCTCATATGCACATGGAACATACACCAAGATCAACTACATGCTACATAAGAAATCAAGTCTCAATAAATTCAAATAAATGGAAATAATATCAAGCTTAATATCAGACACAATGCAATTAAAAAGAAATATCAAGAAGATCTCTCAAAACCACATAAATACGTGGAAAGTAAACAACTTCTAAATTACTCTAGTATGGACATCAAAATTCAGGCAGAAATAAAAAATTATTTGAAATAAAATAGGAAAATTATTTGAAATTAATAAAATAGGAACATACTTTACCAACATCTCTGGGGTACAGCTAAAGCAGTGTTAAGAGGAAAGTTTATTGCTCTCAATCCCTTAATCAAGAAGTTAGGAAGACCTCAAATTAGCAGTCAAACTTTGCATCTAAAAAAACTAGAGAGAAAAGAACAAACCAAACCCAAACGTAGCAGAAGAAAAGAAGTCACTAAAATTAGAGAAGAACTGAATGAAATTGAGATGCAAAATTCTTACAAAAGATCCAATGAAACCAAGAGTTGTTTCTTTGAAAGAATAAGTAAAATTGATAGACCCACCTAGCTAGATGAATGAAAAAGAAAGAGGAGATCCAAATAAACACACTCGGAAATGGCAACAGTGATGTTACAACTGGTCCCACAGAAATACTGATCCTCAAAGACTAGTATGAACAACTCTGCATGCACAAATTAGAACATATAGAGAAAATGGATAAATTCTTGGGAGCGCAAATTCTCCCAAGATTGAATAGATGCAAAAATCCTCAACAAAATATACAAACCAAATTCAGCAGCACATCAAAAAGTGAAGACATTATGATCAAGTAGGCTTCATTTCAGATGCGCAATCAGAAATGACAAAGGTGATGTTACAACTGATCTCACAGAAATACTGATCCCTGGAGACTACTATGGGCAACTCTACACACACAAATTAGAAAATATAGAGGAAATGGATAAATTTCTGGAAGCATATAGTCTCCCAAGATTGAATAGATGCACAAATCATCAACAAAATATTGACAAACCAAATCCAGCAGTACATCAAAAAGTTAATATATCATGATCAAGCAGGCTTTGTTCCAGGAACGCAAGGCTGATTCGACATAGGCAAATCAGTAAATATGATTCACCACATAAACAGAATTGAAAGCAAAACCCACAGTTATCTCAATAAAGGCAGAAAAAAACTACCAATAAAAATTCAACATCTATCCAAGGAACATACCTCAAAATAATAAAAGCCATGTATGACAAATCCACATCAAATATCATACTGAATGGGCAAAAGCTTGAGCCTTTCCTCTTGAGAACAGGAGAAGGCAAGGTGCCTACTCTCACCATTCCTATTCAAGATAGTACTAAAAATATTAGAGGAAATTAAGCAAGAGAAAGAAATAAAAGGCATCCAAATAGGAAAAGTAGCCAAACGATCTCTCTTTGCTGATGATATATTTCTATACCAAGAAAATCCTAAAGACTCTCAAAAGATCCTAAAACTGTTGAATGACTTTAGTAATGTTTTAGGATACAAAATTAATGTAGAAAAATCAGTAGCATTTCTGTTTACCAACAGTGTCCAGGCTGAGAGTAAAATCAAGAACACAAACT